CTGTATTTTGGCAGTTCACGGGAGAGATTTGCTTTATTAAACTCCCCGAGAATGATTAAAACGGAGCTCACATGCGCTTGCGGAGGAATGTAGACACTGACGAGAATGAATGAGCAAAACTCCCGTGGTGAGTAGAAAGGCTTGCAATTAATGAAGAACACTTCTAGATCTGAACAGCACATCTCTTCTTTAACACAGTTACATCTGTACACCACCTCTCATTGATGTAAAAGCACGTCCCGCCGCCACGTGATTTCCCCATTGATTCTGCGTCGCGATCCGCTCTGAACAGCTGAAAGCCCAGGAGACTCAACGCGCTGTCCGGAATGGCGTCTTTCAGCCAGGTTTCCGTGAAACACAGAGCAGCAGAGTTTGAAAAATCCTTATTTGTCCTGGAGAGCAGAAGGAGTTTGTCCATTTTGTTGGGTAGAGAGCGGAGGTTCGCCAGATGGATGCTAGGCAACGGCATCCTGAATCCGCGCTGTCTGAGCTTCATGAGCGCGCCGGCTTGCTTCCCCCGCCTGCGCGTGTTGAAACGTCTGAACAGCGCCGCTGCTCCCTCGACTACAATGTCCAGCAAAACATCAGAATAATCGAAAACCGGTGAAATATCGGGTGGTGTGTACTTCCGAATGTCCAGCAATTTGTCTCTGGTGAAACTGATTGCAGGGATATAACTAAAGACAGGACAAACTAACAAAAACATAAAAACAACTGCGGAGCACGCCACAGAGGCAGCCATCAGCGTCGGCGCCATCGTGAACTGTGTCATCGCAGCATTGATGTTGATCTCTCAAAAGACAGCAGTTATAGTTACTTCAAGTCAGCAGTTATTTTTCACACATGCATCTTTTTATAACTCCTAGAATGAGCAAATCAGCTGTGCATCATCTCTGGGATTTGGGCAGGAAATGACTGAATATGGTGAGTACTGACACCTGCACCTGTATTCACCAACACCATTTATCTAGAGTTAATGTTGACATTGTTTTGTCTGTTTGTTTGAAGGAAGATGAAGCCAGTTGATGAAGATATCAATTCAATGGCCACCAACTGCCGCACTGCTGCCTGAACCCATCAGGTATCTGCTGTGAAGACTGCATTCATGAACAGCTCGAATGTGACAGATGTTACAGCACGTAAAAGTAAACTTCACAACTGAACAACTGCAAGATAGTTGTGGAGGGATTATTTTGGCCCATACCTCCAACAACCTCCCAACAAGAATCAATGGTAAGTCAAGTGCAACAATTATGAATAAAAATACTCTATATTGTTTATTGATTTACCACACCCTAAATACATGTTTTGTCCCTCCAGAACATCTACACCAGGTGATATGTGAGGAGGACCATCAGAGATTCATGGATTGTGAGCCATGGATTGCTCTCACCATTACCATCAGGCAGATGTTATCGCAGAACCTTCACCAGCAGACTGCAAGACAAGTTCTTTCCACAAGCAATCAGACTGAACTGAACTTGTACCAGTAACACCACACCAGCCTCATATGCACTGCACTCTATCAGTTACAGTGACTGGACTCTGACTCACTATTAGTCTGTACCCTGACATTCTGTTTGCACTCATTCATACCAAAGGTACTCTCTGTACTGACTGTACTGTCATTATTGTGTTTATTATTGTTTTCATTTCACGCTCTCTGTATAGTATAATGTTTACCATATGTTGTTCTCTACCTGTATTGAGTCCCTTATATATGTGTGTTGCATATATATATTCAATACTTTTCATCCATACTGTCATGCTGCACTTTGCACCCAAGACTTTCACCACCTGTACACTTGTGTTCATCGTATTGTGACAATAAAGTGATTTGATTTGAATTGGTCACATGTCGTTGCTGGATAACAACTGCAAATTGTTTATGACATGGAAGAAGAAGACTATGGTAAGGACATGGACAAGCAAGCAAGAGGAAGAAAACCAGGAGAGCTCTGATGATGAGCAGGAAACTGAATGTGATTCTATGATGCTCAGAATATTTCACCATGCATGCATTTGGGTGGCTTCATCTGATTAAAATAACATGGTTTTAACATAACCCATTTTTATTTCTCTTGAATATCATTTGTCTTAATACACTACTTTAGCTCTCTTTATGCTGTATCCTCCAGCAAAGTATTGTACATGGTGTTGGATAATAAAGCATGGTGAATATTCTGTATTAAGGATGGTGTTTGGTAAATACACCATTTAATTTTGTAAACAATACATATAATTACTATGATTGTTTTAAGACATGAACATTTGGTTATATTAATGACTCCATTACATGAAGGGAATGCTGAAAGCTGCATTAGAAGAG